CAAAAGCAATTTGCTATGAGATATAGAAGCTTGGCTAAGTTTTATTTAGAAATTGGGTGTTAAGTGTATACTTAACATTTGTTTAGAATTGACGGTTGTATTAGAATTAGTCTTTTCGATATGGTATATTACCTATTCCCACATGTATAGCTTGTTCAGTACTGCCCTCTTTATGCAAAAATTGTTTAGCATGCCACAAGCCTTGATCTCCCACATACCCCACAATTAATGTGATTCACTGCATATCATATGTAAATCATCATGTGACAACCTTTCATCAATAGGAGTGTGAGACACCCTCCTAATGCATGTGACTTCCTCTCTTTGATTCCACTGAACTATCACTTCTTGTTAGACAGTGATCTAGTGCAGACATTTTATGATTGTGCCCTTTTCACATGTTTATTTAATTTTTTTTCTCTGCAAAGTAGTGATTTAATTCTTATTTTGCTACAGTTTATTTTCTGTAGTTTTTTGCCGATATAACGTACCTTTGTTTTATATTATTATTTTTCTATATTTTGAATTATTCACCATTTATGATGAATTCTGAAGCTCATGTCACAACTTCTGATATTCTTCCAACTACTTCAAGTGATCTTACATGGCCTTCGGGTCAGGGGGTTATGACTGAGAATTTTTTGGTTTGGTTTGTTTTAAATTTCTTGCAAAGTTGCACGAGGGCTATCTGCTCTAGCTGACCATAATTTAACGGTGAAAGACTAGAGGGAAGGCAGCTAGTCATTACCACCCACTGCCAACTCTTGGGCTACTCTTTTACCAACAAATAGTGGGATTGACCATTACGTTATAGTACCCCCATGGCTGAAAGGGCAAGCATGTTCAGTGGGACAAAGATTCAAACCTGTGACCCTCAGATTGTGAGTCAAGTGGCCTAACCACCTGTCCATGCAGGGCCAGATTCTTTGGCTATCATTTATCAGGAGATTGATCATTATATGAGTTGGCCTTCTACTCTCGATAATGTTTGACTTCTTCCTGAATTTTACACACCTGTTCATAACAAGGAGGATTTTGACAGCCTTTTTCCTCCAGTTAACTATGAAATGCCCTCCCAAGCCTCTTCTGTAGAATCTGCTAGGGCTAACTCAGGTGTGTTTAGTTTTATCTATTTCCCTGATTTCATATGATCCTGTTCCTTCCTTGTTGCATGACTCCCCTTCTTTAGAGTACCTTGTTTTCCCTCCACCTTACATCAAGGTTTATGCTGAGCATTTCATTTCTCAGTTGATAACTGGTGCTAGCTTCACCCTCCACAGGCTTTTGATCATTATGCTTTGGCATATCATCAGGCTGATCAACCCTTTCTTGACTCTGAGAAGTTGGAGGCACTTTTTCCTTTGTGTGTGTGTGTGTTGACCTTAAAAAATCCTGCCCTTTTATCACATGCACAGTTTTCCTGCCTTAGTCTTACTCATACAGCTCTTCTACAGTACTGGTCCACCATACACCACCTTTCAGAGGCACTCCACCAATCCCCAGAGGGGTTTTGGGGGATACAGTTTCCCTCATTACTTCATTGTTGATGTGATTGTTCTCTTCAGCCTTATCCCTTCACATGTGGCTTCTGTGCTGTTAAGATCTAATTGGGAGGGATGCTGTCTTGTCACAGATCCATTTACCATCCACTTTTGACTTACAGATGGCTCGTTTTCTCCTTAGGTCTTTTTTAGAGAGATTCTTGAGTCTTTGGAATCATGTATGGAACCTGTGAGACAACATTCGACCCTTTCATTTTTGGTTGATCATTTATTTCATCCTGCTCCCATACTCTCTCCTGTTTTCCATCCTGCACCCTCTCATCCTTTACCAGTTCCTACCAATAGAAGTTTGACAGGTTGTCATGTTTCTCGACATCGGTTTCAACGTCGCCAACAGTTCTGGTGACTATCTGGTGGGTTCCAGTCCAGTGGGGATGTATTTGGTCAATTTTGTTCCCTTATGGCAGGAATTCACTACCGATCCTTGGGTGATCAAAGTTTTGTCAGAAGGACTTTTCATCTGTTTCTTTTCCCTGACCTATTGTCTCTTGTACTGATATCCTTCCCATTACCTTGGGATCCTGCTAGCAGTCTGCATCTATATCAGGTTGTGCTGACTTCTATCACAAAGAGCTATGGAGCCTGTCAGCCAACCTTCCCCAGATTTTTACTCCAGACGTTTTGTAGTCCCCAAGAAAACTGGGGAGTGGCATCCTGTGATCATAGGCTTTTTCTCTTGATCTGTGCATGACCAAGGTAGACGTCTCAAATGTGTATCTCCATATTCCTGTTCTTATCTGTCCAGAAGCTAGCTTCAGTTTGTTTACCACAAGATTGTGTATCAGTTTCGTGACTTGCCATTCGGGCTTGCTTCAGCACCATATGTCTTTTGTTTGGTGGTCAAAGCCTTTGTCCGACTTCTACATGCTCGTGGGTTATGTTTACACCACTGCTTAGATGACTGGCTTTTATTAGGTCATTCTGAACTGGAGTCTTCACAACATACACATCTGCTATTGATAGAAGCAGCTGGTGTGGGTTGGATTCTCAAGTTGGAGAAGTGTTTCCTCTTACCTACCCAATATCTTATTCACTTGTGTTTTTTTTCAACATCCACCTCAATAGGGCCCAACCTTCTCCACCTCGTCTCCATTTAGTGGAACTTTAGTTCAGTTCTCCACACCCTTTCTACTCCCTCTGTTTCTGCTCCCAAGGTTCTATCAGTTTTGGGAACTTGGGCTTCTATGGAAGCACTTATCCCCTTGGATCGGGCACATATGCATTCTCTTCAGTGAACTCTGCATGACTGATGGAATCTTGTTTGGAATCCCTCTGATTCCCTAATTACCCTTCCTCCTTCCCTTTTAGATGATCTGCATTGATGGTTGGACAAGGACAACACAACAACAGGTGTACTGCTTCCTCCACCTTGTCCGGATTTGCAGCTGTTCACAGATGCTTCTTCATGGTTGAGGGCATGGGTAGCTCAGCAGGAGGCTTTTGGACAATTGTCTTCATTTTAGAGGTCTTCATGTATGAACATCTTACAGCTTCTGGTGGTATGACATGTTTTTTGCTATTGTACAGAACTGATTCATCATGATCTATTCATACAATTCTACTATGGGAGTTTGTATCAATCACCAAGGAGGCACCCATTCCTTTTGTGGCCGAACATTAGAACTCGTTTATTGGGCCAATATGTTAGGGATACGTCTTCTTGTATGTCATGTTCAGGGTGCTTTCAACCTTGTGGAGGATTGCCTTTCCAGACCAGACAAGGTTTATCCCCCTAGGTGGTCTCTCAACCCTCAGGTTTTCTTATAGCTATGCAATCAGTGGGGTAATCCTCATCTGGATGTATTTTCTACTTTCCTCAACACAAAGTTACATTATTTTTTACCTCCAGTTCCTCATCCTTAGATCCTTGCTGTGTGTCCTCTAAGTCAGGATTGGAACAACCTTTATTTTTATCCCATCTGACTTTCTTCCCAGGGGGATTTCGGTCATCCATATCACTCTGTGCCAGGTCCTTCTGATTGCTCCTTACTGGCTGGAACAACCTTGGTCATCCATACCACTCTGTGCCAAGTTTTTCTGATTGCTCCTTACTGTCTGGCACAACCTTGGTTTCCTCATCTCATTCAACTTGAAACTTCCCTTGTATTGTCTCTTCCTTTCACTCCATCAACCTAAATGGAATGTCATCTACCATTACTCTTTGAGTTGGTTTTTTTCCCTTTCTTGGCCCATGTTTCCTCTTCTTATGGATTTCTTCACCTGGCTATTTGATCATGGGGCTTCTTTCTCTTACATAGCTGGTTATTGAGCAGCCTTATCCAAAACAATTCCTCCTGATTGTGATTACTTCCATTCACTCAAAAGTAGGGCAGTGGTGTTCTGCTGGTGTAGATGGCATGTGATTTTCCAATCCTGCACTCCACATCCATGTGGTGGGTCCCGGAGGTTGATGTTGTACCAAGCTTCTGTATGGTTCTATCTGGAAGGTGAGGTTGCATATGTTTTCTAGAGGTGATCCACTTTTCTGTGGTGGAACCCAGAGGGTGGCATTGTGTTCCAACTTTTGTGGGAGTCTATCCAGTGGATGATGTTTTGCATATTTCATGAAAAGAAGTTCCACCTCTATGTGGTGGGTCCTAGAGGTTGGTATGCCCAGCTTCTCTGTGGTGCTATCCATAGGTTGCATATCTTTTACTGAAGCGATCCACTTCCATGTGGTGGGACCCAGAGGTTGATGTTGTGCTCCAACTTTTATGCAGTCCTATCTGGAGGATGATGTTGCTTTGGAATAGATCCGTAACATTGCAGTTCACCCCTTTGATTGGGATCCCTCATCCTACCATCACCTGGATGTCGGTTCCCAGTGGTTTTGGATTAGAGCTAGACCAATCGACATAAATCTTCACACATAAATTGGTTGTGTTTACTTATCCCAACTCTAATTTTGTAGTTTTGCCTCATATTCTCCACCTTTGTGCGGTGGGTCCTAGAGGTTCATGTTGCACACACACACACACACATGTGTGCTTCGACTTCTGTACAGTCCTATCAGAGAATGATGTTGTTTTTAAAAAGTTAAGCCAAATTGAATTCCTCTGAAAGTGCACAGTACAAATGTATGTTCAAGATGATTTTTTGGCAGCAAAAAAGTTAGTGTGTAGGAAATAAAAAAACTTATATACAGTAAATGTGTTTATGTGCATTATATTAGGTAAAATTATAAAAAAAAACACAATGTGAGGCACTAAGTGTTTAAGGTCAAATTGAATTGATATAAACTTTAATAGCAGAGTAAGGTGCAGTTCTTTTCTAAAACATATGGATAAAAAGTTAATAAATAAATAGATGCAATATGTGATTAGCTTAATTGTTAAATTAAATCCTTATAATATAATATAAAGATGTAAGAAAGTTTACAAAATATTTTAATTTTTCAATAAAAAACATGCCTGTGATGATGTGTTTTTTACATTGTAGGTTGATTAATGAAGTTATGGATTTCATGTAAAACTTGCAGCTGAGATACCTCTGGAAAACATGGAGGATATGGCATCTCATCTCACATCTCGTGAAGAACAAGTGAGAAATTACTGAGAATATCACGTTTTATGGTTTGGTATTTATTTTATAAACTGTGTGCTTAAATAATCTTTGATAGGTTGTTTAGGCAGAGTATTCATAATGAATCTAAGTTTCA